AAAAATTTTTTTTAATCAAGCCCCCCCCCCCCCCCGGCAAGGGGGGCCCCTCTTTTCCAATCTGAAAATCTGGTCACCTTATAATTGGGCCAACTTGCATGCACTACACAGGTAATATAAAAACAGAGAACTGAGTTGTAAAAGAAGAGAGGGGGAAGGAGAGGGCAGGGTAAGATAGGGGAGAAGAGGAAGAAGGATGAGATGGAAAGGCAATGGAATATTTATTTTATTCTGCAAGTTATCAGTAGAAATCAGACTTAAAATAAATCAAAAATTTTGTTCTAATATTGAAATATAAACTGCATCGTTGATTAAAATCAGATAGAAAAGAACATGAAATTTAAATAGCAGCTGCCTCTTGTGGATATAGAGATAATCAGCTGAAAAGATTTACTAGAATCCTACATCAAAATAGGATTATATGTTCCTATAACTAAATTGATTGAGCACATTGCAAATTCTGCACACAGTGTTTTGTATAAAAGATTAATGATTACTAATTAAAAATGAGATAGAACTAGAATTGTTCACATTCACCAATAATGTTTTAATGTTGGGAGTGATGGCTCATTTTACTTAAATTTCTTTCTCTAGAATTGATGTAGAAATTACTTAGGCAAACAGAGGTAAACAAACACCTTGCTTTATTCTCCTATAAGTTGTTTCACTTCCTATAGGTGTCTGTAGTATTATGTCACAGACACAAATAGTATTGTTACATAGTTTGTGTGTGTGTGTGTGTTGCATTTGTGCTGATAAATAAATAAAGGGAGATTAGTATAGATGTATTTCAATCTATTTACCTCGCATCAGCTAGCCATACCCTTACTGTGACACAATACACACACACACACACACACACACACGTATGTGTGTGTGTGTTTGTGTGTGTATACAGCTCAGCTGATAAGGAGGAAGATCTGTGGCTTAAGATTTCTGCCTAAGATGTAATACAACACAGGTTCCAATCCCAGTAAGGTATGGCTAGCTGATGAGAGCTAAATAGCTTGAAATAGATCTATACTAGTCTCCCTTTATTTATTTATCAGCACAAATACTACATGTGTGTGTGTGTGTGTGTGTGTGTGTGTGTGTGTGTGTGTGTGAGAGAG